GTCTATTCAAATGGCCATTGTCAAAGACCTCTTCAAAACCCTCAAGTGATCTTTCTGCTTTCAGAGTTCTTTGGTATAACATGTGAGGTGTCTCCTGATGATTTTCCCAGCTGCATTTGTTACCTTCCTGTCATGTTTTCTCTATTTGTAGTGTCACCCACTGTAGCCAGCATGCTCCTCCCCTTTCTGTTCTTCAGGCTGTTGTACTCATTGTTTTCTTTGCCTAGTGTCTTGTTCTGCACTGTTACAGAACAGCTTCTTCTCACTGTTTATGATTCACTTCATTCTGAATTCCTGTATTTGCAACAGCTCAAATGAACCTGGAAGACACTGTGCTAGGCAAGATCAAAGACAGAAAAAAAGCAAATACTGATGGTCTCATTTTTGTATGTATTCTAAAAGAAGTGTCAAATATAGAAGAGTGTTTCATGGTGGTTGCTAGGGGTAGGGCAGGAAGTTAATGAGAAGAAATTAATTAAGGGATACAAGTTGTAGTTTATTGCTTTTTTTAAAAAACGATTTATTTATTTCTTATTTGTACAGTGTTCTGCAGTGCGTGTATGCCTGCAGGCCAGAAGAAGGCATCGGATCCCATTACAGATGGTTGTGAGCCACCATGTGGTTGTTGGGGATTGAACTTCAGACCTTTGGAAGAGCAGGCAGTGCTCTTAACCACTGAGCCATCTCTCCAGCCCCAAGTTATATTTTTAAGATGTACAAGTTCTGGATATCTAATTACAGTATGGTAATGGTAGCTGATAATAATGTATTGCTTACTTGAAATGAACTAGAAAAGTAGTCCTACCACATATACATGTATGGTGATTAGGTATGTCGAGAGTGGTGGTAATGAATTTAATTGTAAAAATCATTACACAATGCATGTTTTTTTTTTGTGTGTGCATCATTTGTAGACAGTGAATATATGTTAATTTATTTATCAGTTATGCCTCCAAAAGCTGGACAAATTCCTCTAATAAACTTACTTTAACCTCTTTAAATTGAAGATTTTCCTCTATACTGTAGCTTTATTTTAGTTTCTATAAAATGTTTAAAAATTACTTATTTTATGTGTATAAATGTTTGCCTGCATGCATGTGTATCTTTCATGTACATGCAGTAATCAGGAGGCTGGGGGAGAGCACCAGATCTTCCTGTAGCAGGAATTACAGGTTATTGGCCATGTTGGTGCTGGGAACTGAACCGAGGTCCTCTTCAAGAGCAACAAATACTCCTAAGAGCTGAGCTATCTCTTCAACCCTGTTTCTGTAAAATTTCTTGGTCTACACTTTTGTTTTGAGGACTTTTTCTTGATATTCCCACCCCTTAATCAATATAATGCCTGTTGCACAGTATAGGCTCAATAATTGTTGGGTGAATGGTAAATTAACTGATAGCTTATAGCATCCTGTTTTCACATTGTGCACTCTTTAAAATCTCTACATATACTTCATTTTCCTCGCCAGGGTTAAAATTCATGTGTTATGTTCTCTACCAACTTGTGTAGACGTGTAAGGTCTTTTCTTTTCCTTTTAATCCCATCTGTGAGTTTCTTCATCATCTGGAAGCATTTAATGTCTCTGAGGCTTGGAAATCCCGTATGTGTTTCTTCTCTGGCACATTTTAGGAAGACATTAAATAAGTGTCAGTCCTTAAGGAGCCAAATTCTATATACCTGTCTATGCAGGGACACCCCCACTTGACCTTGATACTGAGTACATATTTTGAACTGGTTTGAAGTTAGGATAAAGAGACAACCTATGAACCCATAGTCTCATCAGTTAAAGTAACCACAAATGCCCATAGTAGGCTTTAATTTATAAGAGTGATGGCCATTTATCCAGGAGTGTATTTGACACATTAAGTATATAATGTGCAATATCATTTGTGAGCAATGATCTTGTCTTCTCAAATGATCTCTAAATCCTCTACCTTGCCCCATTCTGTACACTGTCATAAAGTATTAATTTCACTATGCTTACAGATCCTGTCCTTCCTTGCAGGATTCACAAGGTTGATATTTGGGGTACTGGTACTTATTAAGGATTGTGTCATTGCCTTAGGTAGGGATGACAAAGCATTTGTTCAAAAGCCAAAACATGTTTGTACTTTAAAAAAATCCCAATGTCCTTACAAACATTGAAATTATTCAGTTTATAGTAAGATATACCTAGGCAGCACCAAAGCAAAAGAAATGATATTTTTAAACTTTCACCTTCTTTATCGTGATTTATGTGCACTATTTTCCACCTAAATACTGACAACGTCATTCTAAATAATTATGCAGAGGCTACTTTAAAGGAACTTATGTAATAAGTGTTCTGATTATGATAGCTCACAGAGTCTTCTGTGGCTCTTTCTGAACATTTATGTGTTTTGTGAGTATTTCTCACAGGGGCTGTGCATTCTTTCTATTCATTATGTTCTTTATGTGATTTACAGCTTTATGCGTTCTACAATGTGATTTACATTGGTGAATGCTGCTATAAACCAGGGATATGAAAATCACCAAGACCATCACAGGACAAAAACTTCATTCTATTCTTGATAAAAATTTAAGGAATGATCTATTATATTTTCTGTAATTATTTACTGTTTTCCATATGTATTCCATTTCTTACATACACGCGGCTTCTAAGACCAGATGAGATTGGCATGTTCAGGGTTGCATGGCTGCAGGCTGTATTCCATTTCTGCTGTTCTTGTGCTATCTTGTAAGAAGGTTGGCAGAAGTATCATTATCTCCATTTTCACAAATGGAAAAACAGATACCAAAAGAATGGCTGACTCCCATCTTTTAGTTGTAATGTCAGAGTCAAAACTAGCACCCAGGCCAGAGATAGGGGAGAAATCATGGGAGGCCAAGAAAATCACAAAATGTCTTTTCTAGGGTAATTAATGAGCACGAGCAGCAGGTTGACAGCTGCTTTAGCTGTTCTCCCTACAATTTGTAAAGAAGTTAATCTCCAAAAAAGCCTGCTTGGGGTAGAATACAGCTTTTGCTTTTATAAGGGAAGGAACTAAAAATACAGTAGCACAAGCCATTTATTAACCCCAGCAGTAATGTCCCAGGCAAGCAGAGTGTTTTGAAATAAACTCAAGAGTGTTTGTAATGGGTAAGTTTAGATCTCTGTTCTTTCACCAGTCTCTTTATCTTGCACTAAGTATCTACTTGGTTAACATAGGGCTTGTAATGACAAACTTCTGCCAAAGCTGATATGCTTAGTTAGTTAGGTGCTGTGAAGAAGTACTTTATAGGTTGTGTGATACATAAATTTAGACTCCATTCTTGGATAACAAATAAAACCCTTTCTGAACAGGAAACAATGTAACATTGTCAAGATAAGGGCTGACTAACATGCTTTAAAAGACACAATGTATCCATTTTGTTTTGGCTTTTGCCTAAAGATACTTAGTGTTCTGATAACAATCCCATTTATCCAATCCTTATGGATTTTGTAAAATATACTGCATATGACATGCATGAACTAGCATAAATGTCCATGCCCCTTGACAGGTTTTTCAAAGAAAATTTGTGGGAATATGTGTTAGTTGAAATAAGAAAGATAGTATAGAGAATTCCTTTCAGTTTTCTCCATTGTTAGTATCTTAAAATTTGTCTGAATAAAAAAATCACAATGATGCGTCATTTCTAATGGCCTTTATTTGGATTTACCAGGCTTGCACAAATGCCTTTATTCTGTTTTAGGATCCAGTCCAGAGAATGACATTGCATATAATTGTCACATGTCCTGTTCTGCTCTAGTCTATGACAATTTGTCAGCAGTTATCCTTATTTTACAAACCTTGATGGTCTTGCTGAATGGTGCCCATGTGTCATGTGGAATGTTTCCTGAGCTGCTCTTATTCATTTTGTTTCTCATTATTAGACAAGGGATATGGGTCTCTAGAGAGTACCCCAGAAGTGATCCTTTGTGTGTGTGTGTGTGTGTGTGTGTGTGTGTGTGTGTGTGTGACAATGTATCCATGTGACATCACTGATATTGTCAGCCTTCATCACTTGGTTAAGGTAGGGCTTGATAGCTTCTTTACTGCATCCTAGACAGTTCTAACCAGCCATTGTTTATGTTGTTTTTTCTCTGTCTGTGATACTCTCCAATGAGAATTACTTCAAATTGTCACAGCCACAGAAACTTCCTTGCTGACTGCTCACACTAAAGCACTTTCATACTTCAATTGCTATTGCATTTATATCTTGTTTCATTCATATTTTCATTGCTCGAAACTGACTTTTTTCTATGTTTGCCTAGTTTATTATTTGCCATTAAGTTTCCTGTCCCCCTAACATGAACTTCAGGAGATCAAGGGTCTGGTGGGATTTCTCATAGCTGTATTCCTGGATTCTAACAGAAGGACTAGTATATGCTAAGTGCTTAGAAACTATTTGTTAGATAAGTATCAAAGAAAAATATAGGCTTGGTTTATTGGCATTTCTGAAATAGGAAAAGTAGCTGGATGGTGGAAAGTTTAATTTAGTGTTTTTAATTCACTTGGATTGTCTTAATGAACAGTTAAAAGCAAATATTACTATCTATGGAAACCAGGTTAGCAGAATATTAGTAATTCAAGCTGCCTAATAATGCACTTAATGATGTGTCAGAGTTTTTAGTTTTTATACAGGTGTGATGATTAGATTTAATTATCACATTGACAAGCTCCAGACTCACCTGGACAGGGATCCTCAGTGGGTATTTTATCTCAGCAGCAGTAATCAAATCTAAGACAACATGTATGACTGACCAGTGACACCTCTCTTTCATTTCATTTACCTATGAACTGCCCCCAGTTTCATATTGTAGAACTTCAGAATTTGAAGAACTGTAGAGAGTCCCAATGCCCTTGATTAATTTCAGCTGACTGCTTAGCGCCTACATCTTTTGATTTATGTTGCCCCATATGCCACAAGGGAACATCCATGTAATATATCTTCCTTCTATGACCAATAGTAAGATTTTTTCCCCTTTAATTTCTCTTCTCAGGACTTAAAATCCCCAAGCCAGAGGGATGAAATTGCAGGGGCTCGGGCCACCTTGAAGGAGAACTCCCCGCTCTTGCATTCAATTTGTTCAGCTTGTTTGGAACATTCCGATGTTGCTTCGCTCAAAGCCAGTAAGGACACAGTCTGTGAGGAAATTCAGAATGCTCTTGATGTCATTTCAAATGCTTCCCAAGGCATCCAGAATGTGCCCTCGCCTTCTGAGCCTCAGACAGCCACCCTGGGAGGCGCTCTTGATGAGCTGCAGGTAAGTGGAGAGAGCCAAAATGTGACTTAACACCTAAGTACAAGTAGCCAGAAGCAGACTTCCAGTTCATGCGTGGGAGTTTAGAGAACTGACTTTCATCATGCTCCAATCAGTCTCTATGACCTTCTTGGGTCTCCCAGTGAATTAACAGCAAGATTTCCTATCAGCATACTTAGCATTCCTCTGCCAAAGAAGCCTTTAAATTGGAATTGCCTGAGGTTCAAGTGAAAATTTTATTTTACATAGATCAGCTTCTAAAGTGGAGGATTTATTTACTGTACAATATTTATTATCAGCACTGTTCTATATGCTCGGGAAATATATCTGGTCACTGCCTTTGGCAAGTGTTTATATTTTAGCAAGAGCATGCAGGCAAAAAGCACACTAGCTATTATAAATAACCAAATTGCATATAATAGTATAAGGGGGCGAGATAGCCTCAAAGATTTGAGGAGTTTAAGGCAGGAGCAGGTGGAGATCTAGAACATAGGCTCAGCGCCACTTCCCTTGCTTGTGACATCACAGAAGCCAGGAACCTGGGTGGAGTCAGCAGTGGGGGTAGTTCGCTGCCCAGTGTAAAGAGCCAATGGGACCAGGCTATAGACGGCTGTGCTGGCTTTTCCTCTGAGCAACCGGGACTCTATAAGGCTTTAATACACCGAGACTCATGTCTTAAAGGAATCATGTTAGCACCACAAGAGCAGAGACTCAATGCAAATAAGGTGAGAAGCTGGGAACAGGCAGGAGGCTATGGCAGGAACCCGAGCTCATCTTATACCTTAAAGCCTCCCAACCCCCAACCGCCCGCGACTCCATCACACATGGTCATGACAACCGCAGCAAGGCTCAATTTTCTAAGTAAGAATCAGCTGGATAATGATCGGATGGATGAGACATGAACAAAGGGGACATCATAGAAGGTATCTCACACTGAGTCCTTTAGCAGCACAGAGTGGAGTTCATAATCTGAGATGTTATTAGGAGCTAATATCTGGGCAGTGAAGAGACAGGATGAAGTCTGCCTGGGAGACAGACCTACAAAGTTTGGGCCAACTGACAGTTGTTACTTAAGAGAGCATTGGTTTTCAGAGCGTGCCTTACTAGGTTGAAACACACAGGCCTCTCTGCATCTTTCAGTTGCTGAACATAGGTCACTTGCCTGGTGAAGATCATGAACTCTGGAGTCAGGAGGGTTGATCTGTGTAGTGAAGCTAGACTTGCCCACAACTGGGCAAAACCTGGTCATAAGATAAGAAACCTGCTGGACAGTGGTGACTAACGCCTTTGATCCCAGCAGTTGGGAGGCAGAGGCAGGTGGATCTCTGTGTGTTCGAGTCCAGTCTGGTCTACAGAGCCAGTGACAGGATAGGCTACAAAGCTACACAGAGAAACCCGTCCAAAAGAAACAAAACAAAACAAAAAGGAGTCCCAATTTTGAACAAGTTAAGGGATTTATCAGGCCTTCAGTTATGACATCAGTGAGCTCTGGCTATCCTAGTCCAACAAGGAACTCCTTGGTGTGGTGCTTAAGGATAAAAATTCTAGAGCCTTCATTCTTGGGTTTATATTCCAGCTGTGGCACTTGCCATGTTTTTGACCTTGGGAATAATATTTATGGACCTCTGTTTTCCTTTTTACAAGTGTCCAAAACATCACAGTGTTATTGGGTTAAATGAATTCATAATACAGGTGTAGTTGTTCAGAGCAATGCATAGTAAATATTCAATCTTAATATCATTATGGAGACTATTTGGAAGCAGATTTTTCCATAATAAAAAATATTTATAATTAAAATTACTAAAGTTTTACCAATAACCAAATTAATCAATACACTTATATAATGCCTATATGGTTCTTATCAACTTCATGGTAAATTCATTAGGTAATTCCTTTAAGTTTAAAATTGCTTGCTTTCCCTTTAATTATGTGTCTTTAAACAGGGTATTTATTCATTTCTAATCCAATATTAGCTGTATTATTATATATTATTATATCCATGTGAAAATGCATGAAATATCTAGTTATATGCAGAGTTTAGGAATTCTGTCTGATAAGGTAAAAAAAAGAATGGCAACTAATAATCTCCCTTCATTCAGTGTTCACTCTGTAATGAACACACTATCCTCTTGTGTGTTATATGCATATCTTGATGTCTTGTCTTTTAAGATTGAAAATCTCCTTTTCTAAGACCAGTCACAGATTAGAAGATAGCAGCCAGATGCTAATAAAGTGTTAGACTCTAAATAAATAAACTATAAAACTTGGGGACCAAAATGTATGGGAAACTCAATTGCAGTTTGAAAAGCTTTGGGGAGTTGATCAGTTATTTTATATACCAGATAGTAATGGAAGTGGTGTGACCTCGGATAAACACATGTGTGTTCATTTACTGGATAAGGGAGCAATGGGAAGTTCTAGTCATGTGTATCATATCCTTGCCCCTTGCAAGCACTGTCCTGTCTAAAATATATCCACATTCTTTTGAAACCTTGTCATTCTGGTCACCTAATGGTTCTTAATGATACTGTTAGCTTTCCCAACTCAGTCTATAAGTCACACACCTGCTCTTAGTGGCATTTTATCTTAGCCACTCGAGGCTGTGGCCTGAGGAGTCACTGCCTTTCTCAAGTGAACCAGCTGTTTGATATCTTTGATTCCTGCTCTTGTCTGCTGGCTCCTGCTGTTTTCACCCCTTGGAGACCAGACTGTTTCAACTAATGAACTTCGATGCTGAATAGGCCTTCAACCTGGATTGGGGTGTTTTAAGGTTTCATAGGTTTCCTTCACTGGCACCCCACACCAGCTGCTTGGGTTTCTAAGGTGACCTAGAATATGACTAGACTGTGTGTGGTTTATAACATGACCTAGAGTATGACTAGACTGTGTGTAGTTTATAACATGACCTAGAGTATGACTAGACTGTGTAGTTTATAACATGACCTAGAATATCACTAGACTGTGTATAGTTTATAACATGACCTAGAATATGACTAGAGTGTGTGTAGTTTATAACATGACCTAGAATATCACTAGACTGTGTGTGGTCTATAATGTGACCTAGACCATGTGTGCTTTTATGCTTAGGAAGGTTGGTTTCTTGATTTTCTTCAAAAATAAGGAATAATGGAAAAATTGTTGAACAAGGTCCTGGTTTCTCTCACAACCACAGTAGCTTGACCTTTCTGCTTTGATGCACATCTCTTCATAGAGGTCAGCTCTACAGATGGCAACTTTACCCAAGTACAAAGCCAGGGCATCTGTAGACAAATAATAACTTGGTCTTATTGTGCAAGTCTAGGCCTGCCATGTGGGCATGTCTTACTATGCTGCAGCAGTGAGCATAGAAAATCACTTATCCAGTGTGGAAGTGGGCTTTCAGAAAGATACTCAACAGTTGAATTTTGAATTTACACACACACACACACACACACACACACACACACACACACCCCTACCTCATTTGGTGTAGACAATTAAAAGACAGTTTGCCTTCTTCATGTCTATTTTTTTTTCAGATAGTTGTATCCAAAAGGAAACTGTTGTACTCTACTCTCTACTTTGCTCCCCTGTTAAAATAAAAATGGGGGTTTATGTATATTCTGCTCCTGAAAACATAAAATTTGTACAATATCTTCTATTAAAATGGTTAGTAATCTGTAGATATTCTTTGGAAGATGCCTTGAGAAATAAACTCTCGTGCTTTGGGTTGGGAGTTTTTGTTTTTCTCTAAATAAATCAAATCTTAAAATAAAAATTAAAATATTTCTAGTTGACTAAAGTGTTTTAAGATTTACTTGTATGTATTTAAGTTTTAAGCATGTATTTATTTAGATGTGCAGGGTTATACATGTATATATGCATGCATGCAGGCCACAAGAGAGCATCAGGTATCCTCCTCTATCAGTCTTCACCTATTCCTTTGAGGCAGGAGCTCTCCCTGAACCTGGGACTCTTGTTTTCTTGGCTAGACTTGACATCAGCAAGCCTCATTGATCCTCTTGTCTCTGCATCTCTTGGAGCTGGGATTACTGGTATGGGTTAGATGCTTGGCTTGTTAAGTAGATCTGAACTCTGGCCCTCATGCTTGAACAGCAAGCACTTTTAACTGCTGAGCCATTTCTACAGCCCCTCCAGCTAAACATTTTACATGAATGATTCACTTGATTATTACAGCATCACCATTGAAAATTTTGTATTTGCTTTAAAGAAAATAAATTGAGCCCTAAGCTGTATGTATTGCTCATCAGGGAGCTAGCCGGTAGGAGCACACGGGTAATGGGTATAGCCTTTCTGACTCCAAGAAGAATTTGTAGGTGTGCTTGTACTGAGTTTTCCTAGCTAGGACTTAATGTGCTCATCAAAATTCAGCATAATATATGCTGAGGTTCTTAGTTTATATGAATCATCAGAAAAGTTATAAATGTAACCAAGTCTTTCTGGTGGATTAAACACTGTCCATGGGTCATTAACTAGAAATAGTCTCTATTTGGGAAGTGCTTCTTGTAATGGGGTGGAACTTTCCAGAGGAGTGGGCAGGTGGAATTGTATAGCACATTTTTCCAAAGTGTTAAACAGATTTGTGTCCAGAGATGTTCCCACAAAAGACCTCATTTATCCCCAAAATTTTCCAAATTGATCCTCCCCTGAGACATCTTTGGTTTCTCACTTCAGTTGGAGGTGGGTGCTATAGGCAAGAAATAGCAGAGGTTGGAGAGGAGAGAACCCGGAGAAGGGTTTTTTCAGGAATTGAAGAGCTCTTATGACCCATTAACTTCTGAACAAACAGGCACAAGACTATACTTTCCTGAGAACCAAATTCTGTCTTAACACCTGAAATTTATCCATAGTCAAAGATAGGGCTTTAGAATAAAATGCCTGAAAAAAGTGTATCCAAGTCACAAACAATTGCCAAAGCTGTTGGAATCAGATAAAACAGAATTTACTGAACATTTAAGATTTTAACAATAATTTTGTGAGTTAAATGGTTGCACTTTATATTATTTACAGGGAGCTATATTAGAGGATCTGAAATAACCTTTGCTCTATTTTGCTCCTGCAAATATACTACTATGAAATAAATGGATGTAGTAAATACTCTGCTGGGAACCAGACTCATTAAATGTTTATAGTGTGAAAATGTGTCAGAACACTTACTCAACAGCTACCATGCAAAAACTTCTGTTAAATCTTTTATTCTGGGCCATGGCTGGTTGTGGGTATGAAACTTGAGATTTATTGGTGAAGAAGATAGAAGCTGAATTAGAACACGGTACAAACTGAATTGATTGATTTATTGGAAAGGCTAGTGTGAATTATAGAGTGTTGCTTCTGCATTTGTGACTGAATGAGAGTTGAGAAGTGTCACATTCTAGATGAATAGAATTTTGAAAATGTCATTAAGCAGGAAACTTTGCCAGTGAAAATTGCATTGAAATCTTGAAGTTCATTAGCACATATTTCCTTCGTGTAGAAGGAAAAAAAATCAAGCATTGTAATAGGAGTTATTTGCATCTGTCTTTTAAGATGATGATAATGAAGGATATGTGTGTTGTTATTTTTTCAGAGATGCTGTGTGTTGTTATTTTTTCAGAGATGCTGTATTTCCTTTATATATTTATATATCATCTCACATTCCTTCTTATTGATAATTTCACACATACATATGGTGTGTTTTGACCAAATCTATTTCCTTTCTTTACCCTTTAATTCCTGCCCCGTTCCCTGGACTACTTTTCCTTTCCAACTTCATGTGCTTTGTTTTTAAAGCCACCAAGTTCCATAGTTCTTCGTGTACCAGAGCGTGGGTAACTTATAAGACACCACATCCTTATAGAAAATGACACTCCATCTTCCAGTGGCCACCAACTGACAATAGCCTTACCCATGCTGGGATTTTGGCTGGCTTGATCTTGTGTAAATCATGCGTGCAATGTCCCAGTCATGTACAGCAGATAGTGTTTTGTTGCAGACATCCACTATCATTGGCTCTTACAATCTTTTTTTTTTCTTTTTTTTTTTTTGACTATACACGAGTCTTTATTGGTCACAGTTACTTGAGGGGGATGAACCGGGAGGAGTGAGTGGCACCGACGCCAGGCCCGCCATGCTTCACAGGCTTGTAGGTAATGGAGAACTCGCCCAGGTAGTGGCCGATCATCTTTGGTTTAATCTCCACCTGGTTGAAGGTTTTGCCGTTGTACACATCCACCATGCTGCCTGCCATCTCAGGCAGGATGATCATATCCCTCAGGTGGGTCTTCCCCACCTCGGGCTTCTCCATGGGCGGCACCTTCTTCTTGGCCTTTCTCAGGCTCTTGAGTAACGAGTGCTGCTTCCGCCACAGGCTGCAGTTCAGCAGTAGCCTCTGTCGGGTGCTGCACAGCTGCATCAGCTGCTCACAGGACATGTCCAGCAGTTGGTCCAGGTCCACGCCGCAGTAGGTGAACTTGCGGAAGGTCCGCTTCTTCTTCTGCTCAACTTCAGCCATTTTGGTGGCTTCTAGGAAAAAAAAAGGGGGGGGGGCTCTTATAATCTTTATGTAATTACAATGTCCCTGAGCCTTGGGGTCAGAGGAAATGAGATAAAGTTGCCCATTTAGAACTGAGAATGGTTTCTTATTTTGTGCACGTTGACCAGTTGTGGCTCTCTGTATTATCATGTATTGCAAAGAGAAGTTTCTTTGTTGAGTTTGAAAGATGCACTAATCTATGGGTATAATAAGAACATAGGGGGCAGTTTATTATTATGTTCTTAATATTATTAGATCCTTCCCTAGGGTGAATAACCTAGCTAGTCATAGATTTTTTTTTTTTTTTTTTTTTTTTTTTTTGGTGGGAGTGAGGACAGGTAATGACATCATGTGGAATGGTCCTTAAATCAAATCTGTAGTGGAATAGGGGTTGGTTACACCCATAGTATTTGTGCCACCATTGCATCAGTGAGCATATCTTTCCAGATCCATCACTATTGTAGTTTTCAGAGTTCATGCTTGGTAAGACTATTGATTGCTGAACATTAACAAAAAGCAATAGAAATAACCTGTAATTTTTGAGGGGGTGTTCTATGGGACCCCACCGACCGTCAACTGGTAAAGAGATATCCCATATCTAGCACTGGGCTTTTTTTTTTTTTTTTGATAGCCTATGTTGGCTGGGAGAGGCATTGCCTATCCATTATAGGATATCCCTGTTTAAACACTCTTTACTATATATATTTTAGGAAACTTCCATAGAGGTGGGTTTTATGTATGGCTGTTTCAAATGTCTTTGGTGTTATTTATCCCTCCTTATATCCCTTCTGCCAATCCCTTCCATCCCCTAACTCACCATAGCTTTCATGTTCCATTATGTGACTTTGTTTTCTTATAGCTCCAGGTGCCTAGAACAATTACACATAGCAGGTGCTAAGTGACGATCAGTGAAATAAGTACATTCAAGCATGCTGCCTCTCCAAGTGGTATCACAGTGAATGACATTTTTCTCTTATTCTAATTTTTCTCTTTTCTCCAACTGAAACTGAATATACTCAATAAGGGACTTAGCTTTGAATTGGGCCATGAATTTATAGTGAGGAAACTGAAAAGTAAATTGAATTGGTGCTTTGGTCAGAATCTTTCTCTAGTAAGAGAAAAAAAGATGTATGCCTATGTTCCTTTCTCCAAGGAGCTGCCCATCTTTCATCTAGGTTCTTTGAGACTTCCAAGATGTGCTGCCTTTTATTATAAATAGTAATTTTTGGTGAACACAGTTCTTACTGTCTTCCATTTTCACTTAAATGAAAAGCCAGACCTCTGTCAATTAGATGAGCACTTAGGAACTTAGGAAGAAAGTAGCTGTCATTCATTTATCTAGAATTACTTCATGTAATTACTATTTTAAAAAAATGTTTTTGTTTCCAGAAATACAGTGAATTAAAAGTAACTAAAGTGATGGATAAAATATTTTAGAATACATATTTCACATGTTAAGGGATTTTTTAAGGACATATCTAAAGAAATGTCAAATTCACACTAACTCAGCAACAGAATTGTGCTGGAATATGTAGCAATTTATTTGTAATTAAAGCCTGGGGTTTGAACTTTGAAAGACAAGCCTAAGGTGAAAGACAAAAATCCTCATTCTGATAGCTGGAACATAGGATACTGTCCTGGCTGGTTTTGTGTGTCAACTTGCCACTAGCTAGAATCATCAGAGGAAGGAGCCTCAGTTGGGGAACTACCTCCATGATATCCAATTGTAAGACATTTTATTATTTAGTCATGAATGGGGCCTGGGACTCAGCCCATGGTGGTTGGGGCCATCCCTGGGCTGCCTGTCCTGGGTTCTATAAGAAAGCTTCCATGGAAAGCAAGCCAGTAAGCAGTACCCTCTATGGTCTCTGCATCAGCTCCTGCCTCCTGTATCCTGCCCTTTTGAGTTCCTGTCCTGACTTCCTACAATATTGAACAGCAATGCTGAAGTGTAAGCCAAATAAACTCTTCTTCCCCAACCTATCATTTGGTCATGGTGTCTCATCACAGCAATAGAAACCCTAACTAAGACAGAGATCTTTATAGAATCTGGTAATCCTTAAGGTTTGATCATCTTGCTGGATGAATGAGGGAAACACTAGCCCACAGCAGGGATTAGTCAGAGAACTCGACTAGTCTTGCTCTGGGTAGCACAGAAGATCACACCCACATACCCAACCCGCAAACCTCCAAAGAACAGAATGCACCTGGAAATTTTCAAACCAGAATGCTGTCCTTATGTGGACTGGGTCAGAATTTATATTATCTGTGTAGCCTCTTAAAGCTCAGCAGAAAATCTAATTTAAAGTTGTCCTATCTCGAAATACCTCAAGGGACCTGGCAGAAGCAAACTCAGATTCATACTGAACTTTATGCCCAGTCTTCAAAAAATTCTAATGCATCTCCAAAGAAGATAAGTTCTCATAAAATAAGCCATTGTGAGTGACACTGACAAAAGGCACAGACTGCAGAGAAAGCCCTTTACACTGCAGACACAGAAATCACAAGATACTGAATATAAATTAGTTGTGTTAATACACATATTTCTCCCATTTGTTTATTACAACTATACATGTGTTGAAGGAACAAAAGAATTCAAAGATAGAGCAGCCAGTATTACCTAAAATGAAAAATATAAATATGATTGTCGGTTAATTAGGCAAAACATGATCAGGTAGAGGATTAGTATCTCTGAAAGGTATTTGAAAGTTCTGCTTAGAATTTTTCACAGAAACAGAAATAAAAATATCTTGGGAAAAAATTAATATACAAGAAGGTGCAACAGGTTAAAAATAATTTTAATATGAAGTCCAGAAGAAGGAAAATAACAAAGAATCTTCTAAAACAGTGGTTCTCAGCCTCTCTAATACAGTTTTATGTTGTGATGTCCCCCAACTATAAAATTATTTTTGTTGCTACTTCAGAACTGTAATTTTGCTACTGTTATGAATCATAATGTAAATACCTGATATGTGACCCCACAAATGTGTCATGGCCCATAGGTTGAGAACCACTGTTCTAGAACTTCCATATCTAATGCATATTATAAGCACCAAGTAGTATATTAATAAAGAAATGTACATTTCCACAGATTATAGTGAAGCTGAAGAATAATTTTTTTTAAACCTGGATATGGTGGCATATGCCTGTAATTTCAACACTTGGAGATCTAAGGCAGGAGAAAGCCACATTTGAGCCAAGCCTGGCCTAACATAGTGAAGCCCTGTCACAAACAACAAAATAAAATATATATTTGGTAGCACAGCTAGATAAAGCTGGTACAACTATGTCAATGTTTATTAATTAAATTGCTAATTTAATTCACCAAGGGGTTTGCATCAGTTCCATTTTGTCATTACAACCCAATACTTCATGGAAACAACTTGAGGAAATATTTATTTTGGCTTAGCTTTCAGATATTTCAGATTGCCATGGCAGGAGCATGGTGAAACAGAGCAGTTTCCATCATGGCAGCCAGGAGGCAGAATAGACAGTTCAGGACAAGCGATAACCCACAGAGACATATCCTGAGTGGCCTCCTTTCACCACACCCCCACCCCCAATGCTGCTATCACATCATGAATCTATCAATTCAATAGATCAGAGATCCGGGACACATGCTCCACTAATCAATCAGCCAGGTGTTTCTCTGTCCAATCCAGTTGATAGTCAATATCAACCCTCACCAGGTTGTAACACGTTCTTTTCAATGATGTATGGGGATTATCAAAACTGAATTGTTGCTAAGTGGATGACTTTCAAAGAACTAGCATTTTGTAGATATTTTAGAATAGTGTTAAGTTTGATAAGTGAAATTGTCTCATTGTTTGGGTCCTTTTTGGAAAAAAAAACACATCTATATATCTTCCAGTTCATGAGCGGTTATACTTTTTTTAAAAAATTTATTTATTATTTTTTTTGTGCCTTTGGAGGCTGTCTTGGAACTAGCTCTTGTAGAGCAGGCTGGCCTCGAACTCACGGAGATCCACCTTCCTCTGCCTCCTGAGTACTGGAATTAAAGGCGTGCACCATCACCATCTGGCATCAGTTATACTTGAAAACAAAAACAAAACAAAACAAAAACCTAAGTGAAGAAATAGCGAAACTTTAACATAAACTTGCAGGATATACTTAGAGGGAGATGTGTCACCTATGATGCTTATGACAGGGAAGAAGATAGGCTGCAAGTATAATCTGTGCTGATAAATGAAACAGAAAAATTCCCAGGAAAATAGGAGTTACCCATAGATGCTTGATGTGAAAGTATTAAATAGGATCAGTTTTTACTCAAAGCAAAGTACACTGCAGGTACCTTTGCAGTCTACCACCCTTCTGGGGTGTGTAAATCTATTTCCATGGCAGTGGGATGAGAAAGGTTAAGGAAAAAACTCTCAACTTCACTATGTGAAGTTAGAAAAACCAGTACCAACTAACGCTGTATTGGTTATGTAAGGAGGACCATTTGCATACTAACCCAATACTAGAAATAAAATACAAAGCCCTAAGCAGATTTGAGTGATTTACCCATTATTATTTAAAGGATGTATTGTGACAGTTATTTCACAAGGGTGATTCCAGTTCATCATTAGAATATCTACTGACATGATTCAGCACACTAACCAATTAAGAGAGAAATACATTATCTCATAGATCAAGAAAACATCTGAAAAACCAATATAATTAAAATGTCTAGAAAGTACAGGTAGAAGTTAATTTTCTTAAATTGATGAAGGATTTCAATAAAATTTTATGGTAAAGGTCAATCTTAAATTTAAATTCTAAGTATTCTCCTTAAGATTAGAAATGAGACTGTAAGGTACAAAAATGAATAAAGTGTGTGATGTATTTAGCATGAATAATAACAGGACATAAAACTTTACCAGAAAGGGTGAGTTCACACTGTATTTTTACCCTTATGTGCAGAGACATACTTTTAATAGAATAGGTAAGTTCCATTATGGTAAGCTATAAGAGAAGGAATGGAAGGGTTCCT